CGCAATAAATATTTAAATTGAGTCGCAATATGAAACATGAAAATCCCTTTTTGTTTTAAAAATGAAAGATGTTGAGTATACAATATGAAACAGTGCATAAAACTTCCAATGAATTTTTATTTTCAGAAATATATAGGGTGGCCACTTTTTTGCCGTTCAGTGTATATATTAATTAGATTAAGATTAATAAAGATTAAGATTAATAAAGAATTAAGATAAATTAGTAGATTAAGAAACATTGAATAAGAAAAGGCTTCCCATCCTTTTTTGTATTTATTGCTATTTTCCAGCAAGGGTAATAAATTAAATCATTTGTAATCACTTGCATCTTATAGAAAACTCAATTATCGCTATTTTATTTTATTAAAACCTTGCTCCAAAATTAATCGATTTAAAGGTATAAGCACAGAAAGTAGACAAAAAAAAATGTTTTTAGTAATTTTTAAATATTTTAAATTTTTATTTATATTCTCGACCTATTTGAGAAGGATAAGTCAATTATGATTATTGAAGTAAAGTATCACACCACTTTTTCTGCAAAAAGCAGAATGCCACATCTAACATCCAAATGTAGTCGTTTTTCACAAATCCGTCTGGTTCAAGTGGAGCTGGAACAGCAAGAAGAATTTCCCAACTAAATGAAAAAACTGTGATAGACCAACTAATCTATTATTTGTGGAGGAGATCATGTTCTAGAATGGGTATACCATTAAACGACGAGATAACCGTATATAGGCTTCATTTCGCTGATGATTAACTAGTCATCACACAATACCATGAAATATGTGTGCATAGAAGGAGTTGAAAACGATAAACTTAATTTAGAAGATAGAAAGGTAATTTCATCATGTTCCGAATATACAGTGTGGAAACCACTTATGGAATAAAATTGTTTGTGTCCTTATTTTAGTAAATAATAAAAAACGTTGAGGCATTGGTATAGTGCATAATCTGTATTTTAAATGAAACACCCTGTATATTTTCATGTTTTTAAAAGCTCCTTATCAACCCGATTTCAACGAACTATATCATATAGGGTCTATTATGAATAATACAAGGTGAAATTTTAAAATTAGGTATTTTCTTCAAGACAATGAATTCATAGAATACCCGAGGTAATTGATTGGATTACATTAAAATAAATGCTCAACATGTTCTCCACCTTGTTGTTGGCAATAACACAGTCTCCTATAAAACTCGTTCCGAACTTTGTTTAAAGTTTGAGGTGAAATATTCCGTATTTCTGTAGTTATCCTTACTTTTTGAGGTCTTTAATGATAGTTGATTGTGTTGCATATACTTTGTTCTTGAGATAACTCCACAAAAAAATCCAAAGGCGTAAGATCTGGCGACCTAGCTGGCCGCTCACTAGTCCCCTTCATCAAATCCACTTATTGAAGATTTCATTTAAGTAATTTCTCACCATTAAAGCATAATGGGGTGTTGCACCGTCCTGCTGGAACCAGACAGTTTCATGCGGTAGGGTCGGATCTATTGGATTGGGATATAAGTTAGCCAACTAAGGAAGAACATCGTCTCTTAGCATGCTTAAATATTTTTCCGCTGTCAAATTATCATCTATAAATATAGGACCAATATGATCTCCTATAATACCTGAACAAAATCGACTATGGATCAATATTATACAGTGACGCATCACAGTGTCATTTAAACAAAATAGACAAAATCGTTAATAAATGCCTTAGATTGTGTATAGGAGCCCTAAGAAGTACACCCATTAGTAACCTACAAGTCGAATGCTGTGAAATGCCAATGGATATAAGACGAAAAAAACTTGGCATCAGACTTTTAGTAAGATTGTACGAGAAAAAGTCAAGTTTAATATTCAAAATACACCACTTGTTCTTAGCAGACTTAACAGAAAAATATTGGATAAAAAAGAAAACTCTAAATATAGTAGATTTATATTCAAAAATGACAATATATGATAAACAACTATATAAATATGACATAAACCCAAATTACAATATTGACTTTAATACTCTAGAAGAAGTTCAGGTATACTTCTTAAGGGACTACAGCAATTTACCTTTAGCTTTAAGAAAATTAATGTTTATATCTGACAGTTCACAATTGTTCAAAGATTATTATATACTAATAATAAAAACAGTAAAATGTTTAAACTCAATTCCATCATGAGTATATACACAGCTGAATTAATAGCGATAGTGGAAGCACTAAAATATTTATCTAATATAGATCATTCAAAGTTTATAATTTATAGTGACAGCAAAGTGCTGTAAGTAAAATTAGTGCTATAAATCCTAAATCAAAAGTAAATTACGTTAAATTATATATAATAAATAAAATTATAGAACTTCAGCAACAAGGCAAAACTGTTAAGTTGGCATGGATTAAAAGCCATTGTGGAATCACGGGAAATGAGATAGTAGATGAATTGGCAAAAAATGCTGTGACACAAGGAGTATTAACTGATTATCTTTGTATGTCTAGAGATATAGAATCAGACACGTTCAAAGAGCTTAAGAAGGAATGGAAAGAAAGGTATATTAATGAAATATAAATACAGGAAAGCATTACAGAGCAATCAGAAACCATATTACGGATAAATCTTGGTTTGCTAAAATGGAGTCGACAAAGATATGACAAGAACTATATGCAGAATGAGATTTAATCACTGTCTTACACCATCATATATGTTTAAAATGAATCTAGCTGATAGTCCACAATGTACTTGTGGTCAGATGGGTAACCTACAACATAAAATTTTAGACTGTTCTCTTATTTCCAATAAGGTTAATAATTTTTTAAATTCGCTATATTCTTTGACCGATGTCCACCATCCCATTAATTTAAGTTATTTATTAACATTAGAAAACAATGAATTTTTATATAGATTATTGTATAAACATGTTTTAGATATTAAACTCAAATTGTAATTGTAAATATAGAGTAAGTATTCTTTGTAATTTGTTAGAAAAAAAAAAGAAAAAAAAAATTAAAAAAAAATAATAAAAAAAGAAAATAAAAAAAAATTAAAAAAAAATTAAAGAAACAAATAAAAAAAAATAAATAAAAATAAAAAAAAAACTAAGAAACAAATAAAAAAAAAAAAATTAAAAAAATACAAATAAAAAAAAAGAAAAATTGAGGAACTTGGACAGTCCACAGTAAAGTAGCTATTGAATTAAGTAGATAGCTGCAAAAAGTTTACTGTGGAACTCTAAGGACCTCATCACTTATTATACTTATATATAAATAACTAAAAACAATTAATAGGAAAAATGACTATATATTAGGGATCAATACTAGTAATAGTAGGATTAGTATTAGTAGGAATTTAGTATAAGATAGTATATGAAACAATGACTAATGAAAAAATGAGTACAAATTTTAAGATTGGCGAATGGCTTTAGTGTCCGCAGTCATTTAAACACAAACAAACAACAACAACAATACCTGAACAAACCATTCAACGTTTGAGGATACTGAGTGTGTGTCTCACGCATCCAATGAGGATTCTCCGCTGACCAATATCTACAGTTTTGTCAATTTACCTCTCCGTTCGTTCAATCTACTTTTGATTCATCATAAACAAGAATTGTGCCAAGAGCTATTTCATTTGTTAATTTTATCCATCATTCTTTTGCAGAAATCCATTCTACGGTCCGGATCGTCTTCTGTTAGCTCCTGCACAAATGTCAATTTATATGGATGAAGTTTTCTTCATGGAGACACCTTAGGACAGTTGTGTGACTCACATTATTTTGACGTGCAATTTGACGTGAACTTGACGTTGGATTCTCTGCGACACTTAACAAAATATTCACTTTCACTTCATCTTCAATGAAGTTCGATTTTCTTTTTAATGCTTTGACATATCCAAGTGGCAAGTTCTCTGAATTGTGCATAAATTTTAGACACAGTACCTTGTGAAATATTAGGCAACTAAGGATACCTCTGATTAAATAAGTTTACTACTTCAACTTGACTTCTAAATTCTCCCCGTAACCTATCATCATTAAAATCTCAATTCAGTGGGCCTCGTTAAATATTTCATTTTTATTTCTGCAATAATTAGTTTTTAATTAAGAATTTATTATTTTAATGTAAAATGTCAACAGCATGTCAACTGATTGATAACAATCCGCATTATTTACCGATTTAGTTTAATTAGCAGACTACCTATACAGTTTTTACCTATTCACGACAAAAAATGTTAACACAGTTACTAAACAGAAATTTTCCCCAATATACAGTGTACTGACACTTAGAGTAGAAGTCTATTGTCTGTATTTAGCTAATTAACACGATATAGTTAATTGAAATCAGGTTGTTAAAAGTATTTTAAAAACATAAAAATATACACAGGGTGTTTCATTAAAAATAAGGATTATGGACTATGCAAGACTTGCGTGGATCACCATGTACATTTAAACTTATGTTTAAAAAGCGCACATTTAAATTTAAAAGTTAACGTGTCCCAGAGTTTTTGATTATTTTTTATAATAAGGACACAAACAATTTTATTCCATAAGTGGTTTCCACACTTTATCTACTTGGAGGCAAAGATGGAAAGAAATGGATGCACTAAAATAGAAATCAAAGTATGAATTATAAAAGGTAAAAAATAATAGGCGCATTGAACTCACTACTCTGGTCTAAAAGTATCTCATAAACAGAAAAAGCAACAGTTTTTTTAAAAGCTTTGTACTTTATGAATTAACGACCCGGTGACGGACGAACATATTGTCTGCAACTGCTCCAAAATAGTCAATAAAATTCCTTGTAGGTTTAAATCTTTTGAGCTAAAAGATACATGTAGGGTATATGCAACAGATCATTCACATGTATTGTGGAGGCAAATGACTGAAATTTACAAATGTATAATGTTATCAAATAATTGTTTTTACATGTAAATGACAACTGCCTACACAATATTAATCGAATCTCCTGCTTATCGGCAATATTTCCTTAAGAGATAATTTTTAAAAAGTAACACAGTAATGAATTGTTGTAAACTATAAAAAATACCTTTATTACTCAAAATTTAATATAGACAGATGCAACATTTATTTACAGTTTTTCTAAATAAATGACTTCTTTAAAACGTGTCTCATAAACTTGTACATAATTCATCTTCTAGTGTTAATACTTTTGAATTCTCGATTTATGCAGTCTTGTTTGGACTGAAATATACAAAGTCGGTAAATACTCTTTGGGACAAATATGGAGTAAAAAGTAAAACTTTAAAAAGCGAGGCATAAAATAAACCAAGGGGTAAGATAGAAACAGACCATATTAGCTAAATAGTCTGGTATGAGGAATCACAAGCCTGCAGTAATGCACATATTTTTCAGAATTAATATTTATATGTCACAAATGGACATATAAATCAAGATAATAACATGTAACAGTTACTTTCCATGTAATACTTTTTTTGAAATGCTGTGATAATGTAAAACTGGCCGTAATTTGTTACTCATTACTACACATATTACATATCTTATTCTATACATCTCTCCCTTCTCAGCATTTACTCATCCACTTGTGTATATAGGCCTTTTCCAATTTTTTTCCACATATTTCTGTTTAAAACGGTCTAACTCAAATTTTTCCCAGTGAGACTTTATTTATGTATCGTTCCACCTCTTCTAGATTCTTGCCAAATTTATTTTGGTTTCTCCAGGACGCCAAGCCAACAATCTATGTTTCCACCTATCCGATAGCTGCCTCAAGCTGAATCACTCTTTCAAGAATGTCTGGATTTTCTCAGAATTTCTTTATTTTTGACTATATTTCCTAAACCTATTTCCAGTATAATCCTTTCCATAATGTTGTTTGGAACTGGTTTGCAAATTTAATTGTATGTAAAGACTGACTAGGTACAAGACAAACTCTTCGTTTTCAATTTATGGGGATTTCGAGAGACATAAGTATGAAGTCAATGTTCCCAAAAGCTGACCAACGAGCCATTCTCCTATCCACTTCAGACTTATGGAGTTTTCTTTTTTTAATTGAATGTATCTACCTTGTGTCCAATGTAGATATATTCAAAATTTGATTATCAAGCTTTATTTGGATTTTTTTTGTAGTCTTGAGTTTAGTTTTGACGAGACTCCTTTTGGGCCAGTCCTATATGTTTAAATGCTTGATCAAAATTTTCAAGCATACTTTTAAGCTAATCCGTGTTGTTGTCTATAAGGATTATATCATCTGATTTAAACGCCAGCTATATTATTGTTCTTATTTGGCCATTCCAAGCTGTTCGAAAACTTGAAAAGAAAAACCAAAGAAAGATATTTTCAAAAACCTACTATCAAAAGATAGTACCACCATAGTGTAGTTATTATATTGACAGTATTTTGTATCTGCATCTATCATGAATTGCACACTGGCATTTGTATAAAATGCTCAATAACACTCAAATGACTTGCATTATCCAGGACTCCAAATTTCAACAGAATCAAATGCTTTCTATGATCTAAGGCATATTGCTTCAAGGTGGCCAGTCATACTTTTTCGAACACTTGATTGCTGTACTAGCTAATAGAAGTTCTTCTTGGATTTTAATTTGTTTATTGTTTTTGTAAGCGATTTAAATAGATGAATCAGTAGACTGATGAGACGAAAATTTTCTATATTCAGCATGTCTTTTGTTTTCTACAGGAAGATGTATATATCAACAATTTCGATAAGTATTTCAATAAGGAAATGAAAGATATATGTAACTTTTTAAAGAAATAGTTAACAAAGATTGCGAAAATTAATTCTAGATAGAAAAAGGAAACAAGTAAGACCTTGAAGAAACAACAACAATAAGGTTTCGAAACTTATAACTAACCTAAAATGGAATTTAAAATTAAATAAAAACTACACACTATAACTACAATCAGCTATATCTTACTATAATGTCAAAACTCTTTTAAACGCTTACCAGCAATGCCCATGATGGCTTCGGACGCCGAATATTTTACATCCACGTCAGTGTCAACATTCAATTTGTCTAGCACAGGCTTGACTTGAGGCTGTATAACTGATTGATCCAATTGCGGCGCTATCCGTTGTAAGGTTTTGGCAACGTTGAATCTGACGTTTGCTACTTTATCGTTCGCCATGCTCAAAACGGTAGGTAAAAGCACTTTTGTGGTTATGTCGCTACCGCAAGCTTCAGCTAAGACGTTTATGCAGAACAAACATGTCATTCTAAAAACAAAAATAATGGTTTAGTTGACATTTATACGAGAAAAAATGAAAATAAAAATATTAATGAAAAAATAAAGTTTATTTTTAATAAATATGTTTGGTTTAGTTAGATGATTCTGGTATTGACGTCACACAATTCCTTTTTAAATCGTTAATGTATACAAAGTATAACCCCAATACATAAACATTAAAAATAGTTCGTTTGTCTAGATGATCTTCCGTTAGTTCGTGAACCATTTGCAGTTTATATGGATGCCATTTATTTTTTTTTTAATATTTTCAAAACTGTTTTTTAACTGACGTTGCAATCACGAGCTACAATTCTGCTTGATATATTTGATTTTAATTTGATTTACTTTTGTTTAATTTTATTTACTTTTAATTAGTTTTGTTTAATTTTACTTAATTTAGTTTAATTTTATTAAATTTTATATACTTTTACTTAGTTTAATTTAATCTTATTGAATTTTATTTTATACAGTTTGTAATATTTTTTTATAGTTTTTTCATCCAAGCACTTACGGTAATAGGTATTAATATTTAGTTTTATTACAAAAAATAAATTAAAATGGATTTATTTACATTAATTTACAACAATATCATGAAGTAAGTTTTATTTCGACTATAATATGCATTATACTAGATATAATCTTACCTGTATAAATAATTTGGATCCCTAGACATAGCTAGAACCTTGGGTATGATTGTACTCTCTGCCCATTCTGCTCCAAACTGATCAACCAACTTCCTTAAATTTAATGTGGCTGCTTCTCTGATGGCAAACACATGGTCCATCAACCATGTCATGCACAACGCATTTAATTTTTCATCAAAAAATTCCCTGCCGAGTTGGCCGGCTAACAAAGGCATATATTCTATAATAGCCGATCGTACCCTCCATTTTGAATCTTCTGCGAGTTCTACAATGGCTGGGAGGAGAGATTGAGATAGTTGTTGAATGCCTATTACTTCATTTACACAGTCCAAATTAGAAATGATATTGAGCCTGACTTCGGGACATTCATCTTTGAGTTGTGTCAAAAAGAGTGGCAACAAATGCTCTATTGTATTATGTCTACCAAGAATTGGGCTCAAGCCCATAATAACTGAGGCCAGGGCTGATTTGACATGCTGATTTGGATCTGCTACTAATTCTTTAACACATGGTAAAATATTTGTCATTATAATGTTTTCTTGATGAGCCTTGTCTAAGTTTTGGCAAAAATCTTTTACCTGAAACATAAACCATATCAATACATTGTATACAGTTATTATTTGTTTTTTTTTTAATATTTAATCCTTAATATATTAATTATATTTTTGAAACAAAAATAATTAACACATTTTGATAATCTGCAATACACAATCTTAATTTTGTTTTTAAAATTTTTATACATTGAACAGTTTCATTCTCCCCATCTTCTATTTAAGCACAACTCGTCGCAAGTTTCTCTCGCTCATTGCCTTTTTGATGTTAGTCCCCAAGCTTTTTCCACAAAATTTATTATAATATCTTATCACTACAGCTGTTTCTTTCTCACTTGAGAAAGGCACTAAAATCCTTTTGTTATCTATCTTGTTTCCAATTTTTATTTTGATTGCAGGTTTCTTACATATCTCCTTGATAACTTTAATTAAACAATTGCTTATGTATCTTCTCAATTGTTTCGTTAAACCTGTGAAAAGTAAATACAAACTTCTTTTCATATTTATTTTCTTCTCTATTCGCAATACATTTGCTGCTAAACAAATGATTCACACATGAACGTGCTGCTCTGAACTAACACCATTCTTCTGCTTCTCTATATATCTTCATTTAATTATTTTATTAGTTTTCCGTAATCTTTAAGGAGCGACCTCTGAAAAGGAAAAAGCTGAGGAAGAAGAATTACTTTTCCGCAATCTGCTGAACATTGGCGTTACGTTTCAAAAATTTTAAAATACAAAAAGTTTTCAAATTATTTTATGTTGTTTTATATTGTTTTTCTTTAAGTTTTAGTTAACGATCACTAGAAATATTTACTGTTCTTTTGTTAGTAGCTGTGAAATGTTTGCACTCTGTTAAGAGGTTCATAATTGGTTTACTTTATGAACTCCTCAAAAGGGGATAACAATTGTATAACACAAACACTAGACACAAACATTATAGGAATAATCATATGTAAATGACCAGTGAAACTGATTAGTCCAACTTGTTTGATAAAAAAGATTACTGAATATTTTTAAATTGACTATTAAACTCCAAAATTAAAAGTATGAACCATACTTTGAATTTTCACTCACTCTATAGTGTAGGTATAGTCTGATATATCAAAAACTATCAGCAAACATAAAAGCAGATAATATAATATGAACTTCATCTTACTTTATTTGCTGCTGCAGCTCTAACTTCAGCTTCAGTATCTTTCAAAAGGCTTTGGAAAGCATTAACCAAGTCAGTTCTTGTAATTTCAGGTCCCACAGCTTTCTGCAATTCTGTAAATCTTTCTGCTACCATATATCGGACTCTCCAGGATGTATCACCTATAAAGTCATAAAAGTTTTTTACTTTTCAATATTTATTTTAGTAATATTTGATAGACATACCTGTGCATTGTCTAAGAGTGGGCATTACTAGTTGTTCAACATCTTCTTGTTGTAAGAGTGTTGCAATACTTACACAGGCTTCAACTGCAAGAAGTCGAACTGAATCCTGTAAAATAAAATTATTCAATAAATTTTACAATATTTCATCATAGATGCAAAGAAATAAATCTGAATTAGAATAAATTGTATTACCTAAACGATAGAATCTACAAGCTATTTTGGTAAAAATATAGCCAATCTCATTTAGTTTTGATCAAAAATTTTAGTAAATATCTTTCATAAATTCATAGCATTCAAAAAAAAATTATAATGTGATATATTGAAATACAGCTAGATTGAAATTAAAAGATAAAGCAAGAATTAATGCAAAATGATGGATACAAGATTTAACATTGCTATTAATTTAGTGAAACATATACATGAAAACTAAAGTACTTCTTATCAGAAATATAATAAATCAACAAGGAACAAATACAGTTATGGATATCAGGTGATATAATTACCTGTTCATCTTGGGCTAAATTAACAAACATGGGTATTAGGTCAGATTTTAGATATTCCAATTCAACCACTTGTGCCAATTCACCAAGTTTAGTTGCAGCAGCTCTTCGTACCATAGGTGTATCATCTTGGCACAGAGCCCTAAAATGAGCTCTTAGGTGACCCTTAACTAGTGGTGAGACTCTTGGATAACATACCTAAAAAAAATTAAATAATAAATACTAAAATTTTTATAAGTAAATACTTACATAAAAAGCACTGAATAGTACTTACTGAAAATAACCCACAAGCTGAGGTTCTAGTTGTAAACCAATCTCCAGCAGCCAACCTCTGTACTAGAGGTACAAAATGTGTCTCTAAATCAGCAGGACTGTGCTGCTGGGCAACGGCTCTTAATGATTCTACTGCTTTATCTCTAACTACAGTTTCTTCAACTGTAGCTAAACTTTCCAAAGGTGGTAGAAGACAATAAGCATACTCAGAGCCTCCTACTAAATTTATGAATGTCCCCAATTGTTCTGCAAGTGCCAGAAGAACCTCATCTTCGTCATATATAGTTTCTGTCAAAAAAGGTATTAGTTCGGTTCTTGTACGTTCTACTCCAAGAGCTAATGCTATTGTTGAAAGTTTTTTTATTGAGTTTAGCCGAAGCTGGAAAAAAAATTCAATATTAAATTAGTAATTTAAAATTAATGAGAAAAAATCTAGTTTCTAAAATTTGTAGTTGGTTGTATACTATGAATCATAAAAACTTTTATTTAAAAAAATCTTTTGTAAAAGGTATATGTATTATAAAAATGCCCTTTCGGATTACATTATAAAACGTTTTTGGACTAACAAGTTCATCATCACTCATCAGTGCAATTACCAGGTATACATGAGTGAAGCCACTAAATATGAATAAAAACCCTTTAAATGATGTTAACTTTGTTAATTAATACATATTGCTCGATCAAATTTAAATGACCCATCTAGACATCTTGGCTTGGGAAAGAAACATATGGGAGTCTCATATTACCATGAAGTAAATCTGCTTCAAACAACATTATTTAAAATGATCGACAAATATGTATTAATTACCAACGTTAACGCCCAAAAGGGCATTTTTAGAATACATACCTGTTATAAAGGATTTTTTTAAATAAAAATTTTTATAAAATTCACTTTTCAGTACAATTCATTGTGGCTTAATCCTCTATAAACATAATATTTAATGTAAATTAAATATATTTGTTTACTCAATAAATATGTCCTAGATAACCTAATTGATGGGATTATATTTATTTTCAATCCAATGTAATTATGAAAGTCTACCCCACATAGTAAAGATAATGAAGATCATGTTACAATTATTTGTAATACACTATTTTGGTGGCCATACATCAGTGGCTAGGTACAGGTTTCCAAGCTGGACGGCCCGGGTTCGCTTTTCGGCAGAGACAACAACATTCTTCAGAGGGCACTTAACGCCGTCGGTTTCGACTTCCTAAGCAGTCGCTAACAATAAAACCTGAGCCAGAATGATATATTATTGGAAGATGTACAATAAGCAAATTGGCTACAGTATGAAAGGTTATAACAAACTGTCAAAAAAATCTATAGAACTCTTCAGATTCATATGAAATCATTATGAAAAACAAACAAAACTACAGACCTTATTAGATTTTACACAAAAAGTTTATGACAGAAGAGGGTCAGAATTGCCTGGATGCAATATCTAAGAACTTGCTTTCATATGAAATGATGAAATTATTCTGTACAACAGTTAATATAGTAGAATTGCTTTGATGATCGTCGTTTCTCGTCTCGGTTTCTTTTGCACGCTGTATCTGATGATATCTGAATTATAAGTGCAATTAGTGGCCATCTGCTATCATAAGCAATAACACCCAATACCATAACTCCCACTATATGATGAACGTGCCTCTCTCTATTGGATGGTGGGTCACATATTTCACCACGTCGCATTCTCACTCTTACCCGATCATCGTGCATCGTGCCATATAGTGCGAGATTCGTCATTATATACCACCAGTTTCCATTCCCGGTCCCATAGAATTATTTCCCTACGCCAGAACGGTTACGCCGATGTTTAGCTGTGAGAGGGTAGCACCTCTCACAGAATGAAGTGGGGGATGAGAAAGGCCAAACTGGCACACATATCAACCATCCTTTCATGCTCTTCAAACCACTGATTTGCAATGGCTCGAGTACTACCGAATCTGTCTCTTGTAACTAGAAGATTTAATCAGTGATATTGTAACTCTGTGGTCCCCCTGTGACGACCAGAACCCCTCGCTTGGTATCCCCAGCCTTTCTGAGTCTACACTCGTTCACACTGCAGTATACTAGTCCTCCTAGAAACTTCTCTTATCGATAGACCGGCTTCACGCAGCCCGACAATTCGACCCCTCTCAAAGTCACAGCGGGGACACATGGCGAATTTTACGCACTCTAGTCATTTTGAGCAATTAAAAAAAGGGTCTCAATCAGCTACATGAAATTTAAAATGTAACTGATACCTTAAATTCACTAAAACTGAATGTTTTCTTATTACCAAACAATTTCCACAGCCACCTCAAAAGCTTAACAGATAAACCTGAAAATTTGTTGTTGAAATCTTGTTCTTAGCAAGATAAGTCGATATGTAAAAAATTACTGAATTCTAATAATTCCTGTTCATATTATATTCTTTGTAAGTATATGTATATATAAGTATTCATGCTATGGTAAATTTCAATAAATAATTATTTGAATTATAATGAACAAAACTATAAAAACTTAACTAGAAAACAAAGAGTCTTTGTAAATATGAAGTAAACAATTATAGATAGCAAGTAGAATGATGTAACATATTTGTCATGTTGTTTGATAATTTCTCATTGCCATTATCAAACATCTATAAAAAATATGCAATTTCCAATAATTAAACTATCTAATTAAAATTAATAAAAACTGAAAATGTTATTGTAAATTTTGCATGCAGATAGTCCAGCCGGGATGTCACTTGACCTTACATGGCAAGCTAATCCAAATTGTATTGTTCTAACCTTTAGGCATGGTCAATTGTAGTGTAAATTTAAAATCGCAACTGAATCCAACCATCTCGAATTTAAATGAATACCGTTTTTGCTCAATATCTCTGCCATTTTCAACTTTTCAACAAAAATAATACAAACTGGAATTATTGCAAATGCGATTTCCTACAATTTCTTTTTTACAATGTTTTTTGTATGGTCGATATTTTCAGAGTTTTAGGGAAAATAGTAAGATTTAATTCATTTAATTTCTTTATCAACTCTGTATCACACATTTTCGATGGGGTTAAGGTCTGGATTTCGGAAAGCCAAGTGAAGAACATTAACATGAGTTTCTTCAAATCATTCTCGAACAATTCTACTCAATTGAAATGTTGGAAGATGAAGTTGTTATTGGGAATCTGTGGATTACTGATGGCAACATTGGGTACTCAAGACTATGGTTTTAATATAATCCTGTTAATATTTTGTCTATATGAGAACAAACACCCGGTCCTTCATCTCCATGTTGACCGAGAATCCTTCTTAAATGATAAGTATATCGTTTGTCAAACTTGTGATTTTTCGGCCTATAAACTCTTATTCAACCATTGCCGTATGATTAAAACACTTTTTATTCGGAAAATGCAACATTAGATAAAAGACATCCTCACTGTTTATGAATTCACAAAATGCAACTTATCTCCTCTTGCAATCCTGTCAAAAAAGGGTTCCTTGCAGCTTCACAATTTTTCAATTCACTTGCTTTCATCCATCTACATGCAGTGCGAATGCTGCTTGGAAACAGTCTCGTCAGTAACTTTTAGAGCTGTGACAAATAGAGAAAAGGGACTCAGATAATCTACTAATACTTATCTTGTTGCTCTGTGAAGATCTTCTGTCCTCTTAAACCAGTCAACTGTGCAATAGAATGAAATTGATCCTATCTTTGTTTGATTTTCCATATGCAAATATGGCTCACATTCAAATCTGCAGCAACTTGCCTAAGTGACCAACCTTCTTTGAGTTTGACAATTGCTCTTGTTTTTTGCGCGTCATTCAAATTTGTTCTAGGCATTTTGAATGCTTTTAGTAGCCTTTTATTTTACTTTTCAATATGTGCGACATTGTTGGCAAGCGCTTTGACTTTTAAAAAATCCATATGACACTGTGATTTTACAGTAGTATTACAATGTAAAAATAAAGGTGTAAACTATTCAGTGACTGCAGCTGAACATATTGCAGATGGTGAGTTACACACTATTCAGTCTGCTTGACAAAACTTGCAAGCCCAGACTGCCTTTAGGTCATTGAAAGAAAAAAAAAAAGAAAAATATATCAGGCAATGTCTTCATTAGTTTTCATTTTAGTTTAGTTAGACTAGCCCTTGTGACTACTTTTTTTGGTCTGCAGTTCTATAGATTTTTGTTTTTACCATTTTGAGTATTTTACAACTTTTTTTTACAATTTTCCAGCTAGTTCCTATTCTTTTTTATTATGAATATTTTTTAAAACAAAATCTGCAGTAATTAAAATAAGATATAATAAATAAATTAAATATTTGATGATAAATCAATTTATCACAAAGTTTAGTAGTAGGACAAAGTATATCAATAAAAAAACATCAAGAAATCTCTATAAATAGTTTGACCATGAAATCTAGATGTCAATGTGTATTCATGGTGTTTGTTAAACAATATGATCATTCAATAAATTGATAAATATTAAAATATAAAAGTAAAAGAAAGGAAAAATAAGATGGGTATTATAACCTTTGCAAGATTTAACATTAACCAAAATGTTTCTTCTTTTTTTTTAATCAAATAATTCAATAGAATATTTCCAATAAAAAGTATAACCTTGTTAAGTTAGGATAAGTTTTGTGTTAATACAAGTTGTGTAGTTAATAGAGAAACATATTTTCTTGAGTATTGCAATTAATATATCCTTCTTTTCAAACCTATTACAGTATCCTTTAGGTATGGAAAGGACTGTAACTAACCATAACATTAAATTTACAGCAGTTGATCCAAAATATCTAGAAATATTTTTTTTTCAGAACAGTGTTTCAAGGTTGATAAATGCAAATACCTAGGAACCTGGATTTCAGACAATAATGATCAAACAACCGAAATAAGAGTTAGGATAGAAATAGTAAGAAATGCGTTTGTAAAAATGAAAACAATTCTCTGCAACAAAGATCTTAGATTAGAATTGAGAGTAAGAGTACTGAGATGATACATGTTTTCGATACTGCAATATGGACTTGAAAGCTGGACATTGAAGCCAGAACACATAAATAAGTTAGTCTTTTGAAATGTGGTGTTACAGAAGGATGCTTAGAATAGCATGGACACAGAAGAAAACGAACACGGAAGTATTACGAGAAATGGGCAAAGAATGCGAAATAATAAACACAATAAAAATAAAAAAGTTACAATATCTGGGACATGTAATGAGGAGACGGCGATATGAACTGCTAAGGCTGATAATACAGAAAAAGATAAGAGGAGGAAGGAGTATAGGAAGAAGGAGAGTGATATGGTTGAAGAATTTAAGGGACTGATTTAAATGCAGTTCTATAGAACTCTTCAGAGCAGCAGTAGATAAAGTAAAGATAGTGATGATGATATC